TTACTTTGTCTTAAATGCTCCTTTGGCTATACCACACTGGACTTAATTATTGCTCAAAATAATTCACAATGAAAAAAATTCAATTTTACTTGTTCTTCCTGGCGTTTGGTTCCAAGGCCTTGGTGTGGCTGTGCACTTGTGCAATGCTCTGATTCATGTGTAACCCTTCAACAGACCAATTTTAGAAAAGCGCCTTAAAGGGAGAATTCTTTGCTAGTTACTTTTTTCCCTCTTTTTAATTTATTAAATATTCTGTGAGACACTTTGATTTTTTAAGAGGAAGGTACCTTATCTTTAAATTCCAGGATGAAGACATGGCCACACTGAGACAAACTGAGGTAACTTTGACATTTAAGAGACTAGAGAAGCCACTACCAGGTGTTTTGGGCACTGATGTTTCACACCTGCTCTTGAAGGTCATAGGACTCTGAATTATGACCTTGTCATTGAATCCTATTTGTGTTTACAGAACAAAACAATAGTGATGGTCACACTACCATTTGAATCTTGGTACAAGTGAACCTTCCCAGCAAATGATGTACTGTTTTATGGAATAAAGTCATCTTGGTGAGAGAGAATTAAAACAAAATTATTTTGTTATTTACTAGAATTTTTGTCTTGAACTTGTTTCTTTAGAAGTTCTACATAAAATTGTTTAATGTGTTAATAAATGTCTGCTTTGTCAAAGTAAATCTGTAAGTCTGTTTACATTATTATTATTATTTTATTATTTTGTAGGACATGGGGCTTGAACTCTGGGCTTGGGTGCTGCCCCTATGCTCTTCAGCTCAAGGTGAACACTCTACCGCTTGAGCCACAGTGCCACTTCTGGTTTTCTAGTGGTTTATTGGAGATAAGAGTCTCACGGAGTTTCCTGTCTGTGCTGGCTTTGAACCATGATCCTTAGATCTCAGCCTAGCTAGGATTACAACCATAAGCCACTGTAATTTATTTAGTTTGTTTACACTATTATTAACAGAGCTGAAGAAAGATGATTCTTTGTTGGAATAAGCATAATGTGCTGAATAACATGGATAATCAACTGTAAAAGCAAGGTCTGTGAGTCTTTACAGAATGCAGTACAAGGTATGATTTACCAGCTTGGATTCCACAGAAGTCTCCAGCAGGGGGAAATAGGAGAGGGCAAACAGCCCAGCTCAGGCACAGCAGTCTGGAAGCCATGCTAAAAGGTATAAGTGTAAGTGTGCCCCCTGCCCTTCTCTTCACTATAATACCAGCAGGCACTAGGCCATGTCAACTATATATATTCTCTGGCTCTTTCCAAGAGGGTAAGGTTATCTGCAAGAGCAGAGAAGCCAATGAACTTTGTAAAACACTGACTGCAGAGGAGTTTGTGAGATGCCTTTTTAGTTTCTTTGAAGTAGTCATGCTGAATGTAAGGCCACCCTGAGCATGTGGGTCCCAATCATGAAATAATGGTGCCTAGATCAATATCCTGCTTCTTGCAGGACATCAACAAAGATCACCAAAGAGTTGGCCTGGTGGTGTTCTAACCACTTTGTTAATACACCAAAGTGCTCTGGTGATTTTGCTGTTGCTAAGTATCCAAAACAAATGAAGGAGAGTTTCAGTTTTAATCTGTTCAATGTTATTCCTTGTCACACTTTTTGGGAACCAAAGGAGTGCTTGTCTATCTAACCATACTCAATGGTACTCATTATATTGGAAGTGATTTTCTAGCTGGAGGAGGGCTCCCATAGCAAAGGACCTTTGTTCACATACAACTGGACAGGAGCAAACAAGAATGAGAGGCCACACAGGACAATCCAGCACACTCTGGCAATCTACATAGGCTTCTTATCAAGACATACAATGGCAGGGTTTGATTTCTCTCTGAAAAGAGACAGTTCAGTAATTAGACCTTCAATGACTAAAAAAGTACCTTCATTTTTGGATTGGGATAGTCTGTGCTGCCATTCATGTTTGAATTTTCTAAAGTAGTCTGAATACATATTTTCATCAGAATCAATGCTCTGACAAGATATATCCAAACTACCTCCCCATGTAGGTCCTCTTCCTAGAACCCAAGTGGTTCATGGCTTGATGCTTCCCAGGGCATTGACTATCCCTGGGCAGACCCCAGAGAGTAAAATGTCCACATACCTAATATTCCTTACTTTCAGCCTTAGGGGTTACTGGCCTCCCAACAAATCAACCACCTTTCAGCAGGCACTCCTCCATCTAACTTGCAAGTGACAGCAGAGTGCAAAAGGTTCCAAGGCTGAAATGAGTGAATTTGGCAGTTACCATGCACACTCAGCAGACTGCAGCAACAAAAAGCACCAGGGTTTCCTCTAAATCTCTGCCTACATGACCACTGTAGTGCCCTCAAATTCCCACGGCACATGATGCCTAGAGAACTGCAATGTCACTAACTGAAGATCAGGTGAACAACCTCAAGGAAGCTACATTTGCTCTGTGTCAATTAGGCAAGACTAGCCAAAAGATTACTCACAATGTTCACTTTATTTACTGTACAAGTTCACATAAAACATTCTGCTAAGGTAGAATTAATGTTATAAGGTTAGTTTCCTTGGGACTTGGCAGGGCAGGAAGCCTGCTACTGGTTGTAGTTCACACTGCGGCGGCAGCGGCAGGTCATAGGGCATGCTGTGCTGCCAGGTCCTCCAAAGTCACAAAGGCTTGCATTAGGGGGTTTAATTGTATAATACCAGAGGAAACAATAAATCACAAGGGCTGGTGCATATACTTTGGTTATAATGACACTACCACACATGGTCACAATTGTGCAAAAATACTGTTTTCAGATCATTAAATAAAAAAGGAATTCACATAAGCTATAAAAATGTTGCCACAAAAAGCAAAGCTTTCCTGTAAGAAATTTTAACTGACCTCAATAGTGAACCCCAGATTTGCTAAAGTACAAGAAATATAATATAAATGTTGATTATATTTGGTTCATATATAACATTCTACCAATCTTTGAAGCTTACCTCCTAGATATCTTGAAATACAGCACTGTCCATCTGCTGAGGGGGAGGGAAGAGATGAGTTTATACTTTTGTCTGGGCTTTTTTTCCTCATCCATTATCTTCTTGCCATTATAATTACTTTTACTTTGTACTTAAATTGTACTTTGATCTAGGGTCTTACTATATACTCTAGGCTATCTTTGTACCGATGATCCTTGTGTATCAGCTTCCTAAGTGCCAAAAAACCATTAGTTTTTAACCCAAGGACCAATCTCAGCTTTTATTTCAATAAAAGCATGGAAGTCTGACTGACATAGCAAAATGGCAATAATATTACTTAAAAAACAAAACAAAACCAAACCCACACCCCTTCTTCAGACACACAGAAGTCTGTTAGGGAACCATGATAAAAGGCAAACAGACTTGCCCTAAAAGATACCATGTAGTTTTTACTTCAGATAGTCAGAACAGAAGATTATTTGTGTGTGTGTGCACATGCATGTGTGTGAGCATGTGTGTGTGTATGTGTGTGCCAGTACTAGGGCTTGAACTCAGGGCCTGGGCACTGCCCTCTACTTTCTTTATTCAACACTAGTGCTTTACCATTTGAGTTTACAACTCCACTTGTGGCTTTTTGGTGGTTAACTGAAGATAAAAGTCTCATGGACTTTCCTTCCCAGGCTGGCTTCAAACTACTATGCTTAGTTCTCAGCCTCCTGAACAGCTAGGATTATAGGCATGAGCTACCAGCAATTGGCTTGAACATTACATCACAGTGCAAACAAATTTGGTGAACTAGTGGTGACAGCACACTGGCTAGCTAGTTTTCAAATGTCTTGTTTTTACAAATATGTATAGCTAGTGGTATAATATAGTAAGTAAAACTCATTTTAAAATATGATATTTTAGTAAGAGTCAGGAGGGATCAATTGGGCTCCATTTAAAAACTAACCTTCAGTGATGTCTGGCTTTCAATTAAGAAGGCCAAAACTTTGAAGGGAAATGGAACCCTCAGCAGATTCCCGGGCTTAACCCCTTTACCCTACCAGTTAAACTGACATCACTGAGATGCTTGCTTCTCCAAGGTCTCCGGCACACTACTGTTATACCTTGACTGGGCCAGTGAGTGCTCACCACATCTGATACACCTCTAACATCTGCCCTCCCAGGGTCTTTTCACTTTGTTTCCTTCTATTGTCCTTTACCCCAGATGAACTTGACTTTCTTACTAGTCCTCAAACCATCTTCACTCAGCCCTTAACCTGACACTGCATGACAATATCCTACAGATTCTAATCCACAGCCTTCCAAAAGTAAAGACTACATTCCAGTGCTACTTACCACCAGACACAACAGAAATTTTCATTATCTGTCACTAACGACAGCAGTACAATTTAGAAAGGACTGAAAGTTACATTGGGACATGCCAAACACTGTGGTGCCAATATAAAGGGATTTCCACTCTAACTCCAAATGGAAACTTTCTCTAGGAAAGGGAAAGTTCTGCTCCTTGCAAATCTTACCTGTGTGTGTTTACATACAAATCAATGCAATCCATTTTGACATTCATCAACAAAAGAAGCACATACTGCCAGGAAGCTTGTTTTCCTCAAAATGCAAGTTATTCTAATGGATCCCAACAGTTCTCAAATTTCCATGTACACGTGAACATGGAGAATAGTACAAAAAGCAAGCAAATTTGTCACTAGCACCATCAAAATAATCACAGAAGAACAAAAATAATTTCCAATGAAATTCTACACTCATAGTTGGCAATCACTCTGAACTAAACACACACACTTAAAGAATATATCCAGATGCCAATGTACAGGGTCTCTGCAAAGCATCTATGAAAAATAATGGGTCAAGATTTAGAATTCAAGAGGAAGAACATTGAAAAAAAAAGTGGCAACATTAAACATGGGCTATTTCAGTATCAGAAGAACAAGGATATGATTTGAAAGTACTCAGAAAACTCTGGGGACTCTGATAAGCCTGACAAACGTCCCTTTCAACTGCTTCACAGTGACACAGATGTGGTGCACACGCACTTGGACAGTACATGGGTTGTGTGGCTCATATGCAACAAAATTAAGCCATTAAATGGGCATCTCATAAAGATCCAGTGGCCCTAAGACAAAACTAAAGAGACATTATTAGCTGCATGCCACAAGGACAGAAACATTTCACTTTAAGTCTCCATCTCCTTCTCCATCCCCTTGGATGGACTTTTTGATACGAAGCAACATGGTGGTTAGCCACTGATCCAACCGTGATATTGAGTCAAATTCCTTCACCTAATAAGGGAAAGAGGAACAAATTATATTCCAAGGAAATATATTATAACAAGAAACAACAGTGACCCCAACTGTGTGAAATATTTTACAGCAATATCCATCAAATTCTTGATTAGAAATTATTTAGACCTATCTTTATGCCTGTCTTCTTTAAAAATTTCTGCTTTTCATGATCTGCTGACTATTTTGATGTTAGTTGTGATGGGTTTCTGTGCTTTTAATATCATTCTATAAGTTAAAAGTGCACAACAAAAATTCAGTTCTGTTATGACAATTAAAATTTGCATCTAGTGAGGCAGAGGAAATTCAATACAGCATAAGACTAGGAAGGAATATGGAAAACTACAATGTACTGAATATGGTAAGATATAATGGAACAATTAGGAGGCAGGAAGCAGAAATCCTTATACATTTTAATAAAAAGCTACTCTGATTTGATATCTAAAACATGACCCTGAATGGAAAATACAACTGAATGACACAATGCTATGCCAGAATAACTAAATGTTTAGGATTTACCCTGTGAGAAAATGAAAGAAGTTTCTGAAACTTAAGCCTTGGAAAAAAATATAACATATCCCAGAAAGTTTAACTTACTGCTTCAGTGTAAGCTTCACTGTTCTGTTCTTCATGAGCTTCTAGAAGTTTCTGCAGCATTAAAAAAAAAAAGAAAAAATATTTTGATTAAGGCCAAAGAGTTATGTCTGAGTGAATTCTTTAAACATAGAGACAGCCTAGTATCACGTTAATTGATATTGCTAAGTATCTCATAAAACTGGGGAAAAATTCACATTATCCTACTCAAGGGTCTACTGTTCGTACTAGTATTTCTGAACTGCCTGTTCAAAACATGGTGCTCATGTCCCTGACCCTTTTGGCCTTTGAACACCTACAACAAACAAGCAGACAAAGACTGGATCCCCTCAGTTGGCAGACCCATTGATTAAAACACACTGTATAACCACTGAGGCGTGGTCACCTGATAGGCATTTTTCTTTGAAGTTCAATTCTACTTACTTTCAGTAATTTACATTCTCTTGAATCAGTAAATGCTGGAAACATTTCCTCATACTTCTCAAGAGCAAGCTGAGGAAGGAACACAACTAGTCAACATCATATTTAACTATAAGAGGAAATGAAAATATTCAACTTTCTATTAACTTCAGAATACATATCACTATCTGTAAGTGTTTAAGTATGCTACTAAACTCAATGGCAGGACCAACACATTTTTGAACATTTAATTTCAATTAAGAAGAAATTTCTAAACTGATTTTTAGAATCAGATTCTAAAGATGTCATCTGAAGATGACACTGCAAATAAAATTTAGTTCTTAAAAAGCCATTGCCATATAGCTGTAATTTATCTGTTAAATGGAGAAACTCTTCCCTAATATCAAACTCTTCCCAAATATCAAATAAATCAAAGCATTCTAAAACACTTTTCTTTTGGACTTAGTTTTTTTATTTTTTTATGGCTTTTTAGACACTGGCAACACCAAAGCTTCCCAGTGCCCAGAAACTTGTCTTCCAACTACAATCTAGCTATGCTGCCAAGGTTTTTTTTCTTTTAAATTAAAACAAAGAAGGTATTAGTCTAGCCAGGCAAAGTGATACATGTCTATAATCCCAGCACTGGGAGGTTCAGGCAAGAGGATATGTTTAAAGCCAACCTGGGATACAAAGAGACCCTCTGAAAGACTCTGTAGAGAGACAATACAAAACAAAAACAAAACAAAATAATTATTGTACCTTTCCTGCCCTCTCTTAGTTTGCTAACATCTTTAAAGCAACTACTAAAGGAAAAATCTGTAGTTATTACAAAATTCCAACTGGGACATGTCACATTTTTTTAATGTTTCCAGTTCTGACACTACCATGTATATGAATGACATCAAGAATGACCAAACGAGCAGGGCACTTGTAGCTCATGCCTGTTATCCTAGTTACTCAGGAGGCTGAGATCTGATGATCATGGTTCAAAGGCAGCCTAGGCAGAAGAGTCCATGAAACCCTTATCTCCAATAAACTAGTCAGAAAAAGCCCAAAGTGGCACTGTGGCTCAAGTGGTAGAGTGCTAGCCTTGAGCATAAAGAGGTTCAGGGACAGTGCCTAGGCCCTGGCTCTGGGATCAGGAGAAGGAGGAGGAGGAGAAGGAGAAGGAGGGGGAGGAGGAATGACAAAACATGTATTTGTGATATTTGTTCTTAAGATGTACACCAGAAAATGAGCACAGGCCTCCTTACCTTGGCATTCAACTCATCTACTATGAAGTGACACAGGGCTGCTTTGAAGAAGTAATCCTTTGCACTGTACTTCAACAAAGGATTATCCATAGTGTTAGCCCCCACCTAGGTATAGAAAAGAGTTAAGTTGAAAAACATATTAGGCAAAATAATTCCCTGCTCATTCATTACCCTTTAGAAAATACTTACTTACACTTGCATTGGGTCAGCTATGGAATATATTCTTTTAACTCAATACCATGTATCAAGTGGAAGCCTGTTAAAAATGATTCCGAAAACCTGCTTCCAGGAAGAGGGAGAAGGTATATTTTCCTCCTCCTTGCTAAATACAGGGGAAAGTTCTGCTCATCATATTCAAAGCAAACCTCTGTGAAAGGTAAACAGATGGGGTCAACCAATGAGAAGCCTGAGAAACAGGGAAAACATGATGGTGAGGGCTACTGGGCTTCCCTTCTTTCTTCTTCCTCCTCCCTCCCTCTTCTTCCTTCTTCTCTCCTCCTCCTTCTTTTATTGCCTAGTTTTTCTTTGTTCTTTTTAATTTTGTTCAGTTTCATTTAAAAAAAATTATCTGTAAGTAGTTGTACAAAGGGGTTTCAATTTAAGATAACAATATCTTCTTTATCCTTTCTAAATTCCTCATACAGAATTAGTGACACAGAATGCTAGCGGGCATGGATCAGAAGAGATAAGGCAAAAGTTTGTTCTCTCTAGCCAAAGGACCGGGAAAGGGGCAGAGTAGCAAGAGCAGTGCTTAGACAATTAACAGCTCTACTCCAGCCCAGGGAATGCTAGGTCTTTCCATTTCCCAGCTAGAGTGGCAACAGAAAGCTACCAAGGGTGAAGATTTCCATTACCAAATGGTTACAATCACTACTCTAACATGGTGTTAGCAGAGACTTGACAGGGAGTAGAGATACCACCCACCTCTGCTCATGAGGGTCTAGTGGGAAGCCTGAACTTCTAACTTTACCAGCATTCCCACTGCCCCCACTCCATTCCCTAGGCAGAGGGGAATCAAAGGATTCTAGCTGAATAAGAAGTTTAAATAAGGTATCAAGCCTTCTAATAATAGGACAATGCTGTTTTCAAGTGAAAACCATTTGTAATACTAAAAACAAGGCAGATTTGAAGCAGAATACAAAGAGACAATAGACGATTTGCAAATAACAGAAATGTTAGAAACCTAATAAAGATTTTTAAAGAAGCCCTCATGACCAAATGCTTCAGCAGAAATTACAAAAATGTCTTAAAGGAAGAAAGGAAGAAGGAAGAAGGGAGAAGGAAGAAAGAAGCAAGCAAGCAAAGAAGGAGGGAAAGAAGGAAGGAAGGAAGGAAGGAAGGAAGGAAGGAAGGAAGGAAGGAAGGAAGGAAAGGAGGGAAGGCAGGCAGGCAAGCATCAGGACTGCTATATTTTGCAATGGTGACATATTTGACTACAATGAATAAAACTCTAGGTTAGGTTACCCACACCAAAAAAGAAAAAGAAAGAAGAAAAAAAAAAGAAAAATATCAACAAAGAAAAAAATGTCACAGGAAAATACCCTAGAAGATATCAAGCAAACATGGAGATTACAGAACTAAAGTTCACAATAACTAACGTACATAAACTGGCTGAGTTCAATGGCAGAATGGATTGGTAAAGGGAAGGGATCAAAGAATTGCAAGGCAGAAGAACAGAAATCAGACTGAACAACAAAGAAAAAAGACAAAATAAATAAGCAAATAGAGCACTGTGTGCCCATGCAACTAAGACAAGGTATAACATTTGTGTTTGAGTCCTAGAAAGACAGGTCAAAGAGAGAAAGGCTAAAAAGTACTTGAAGAAATTATCACCAAAAACTTCTCAAATTTGGCAGGAAACATAAACCTACAGGTTGCAACAGGATAAAAGCCAAGGCATTCATCCTGAACCATATTATAATTAAGGAAAACATCAGAAAAGCTTCAGAAAAATACTAGCCTATGTGGGAAAAGAAATCTAGGTATCAATAGATTGCTCATCATAGACCAAGGAAGCTACAGACTGCACATGTTCAAAATATGTAGAAAAAACTATTAATCCAGAGTTCTACATCCAGTGAAAGGATGTTTCAGAAATGAAAAGGAAGTCAAGATACTCCCAGATAAAAACAAGAAAATGTGTTGCCAGGAGACTTACCCTTAAACAATGACAAAAGTATGTTCTCTAAATAGTAAAGAAACAATTTTAAAAGAAGAGTCCCTAGAACAGCAGGAGCAAAGGAAAAATAGTAAGCTAAACAATGTAGAGCTGAGGCCCAGAGTTCAGACCCTACGACTGGTAAAAAAATAAAAATAAATAAAAAAAGTAATACAGCAGACTTTCCTTCTCTTGAATTTGTAAAACTATGTTCCATGGTTAAAGCAAAATTCTATCACAGACAGTTGTGGTTCTAAATGTATACACAGGAAATATTTAAGATAATTATATATTGAAGAAGGGTAATTAGAGAACTTAAAATGAGTCAGCAGTTCTGTATTTCGCTGGAACTGATTAAAATGGTGATATCATTAGTCTGTCATCAGCTATGTAAACATAATATCCTCGAACACTGAAAAGAGCTATTCAAAGAAATACATTCCAAAGCACCACATCAAGCCAAGTAACCCCTCAAGAAGCCAGGAAAAAGAAAACAGAGAAACAAACAAACCAAAATCCAGCAAAGGTAGAAAGCAAAACATACAACAGCAGAATTAAACTCTAACACATCAGTAATTACATGTATCAGAAATCAGCTAGTTGGAATCCCCATTTTTGGCCAGACAGAAACTGTATGTAGACAGGAGAAAGTCCTCCAGTTATTCTAGGCCCTAATAGATGTTTGCAAGCCGCAGCAATGGGTGACAGCAGGCAATAACGGACAGCCCAAAGCCTTTGACACCTAGGGCAGGGCTTGACTTCTGGGTCTCTGGGTTTGGTTCTGAGGTTCAAAGTGTTATATATCTCTTGACGTTGTGTCTACTTCACTTGGAGGAAGGCTCTTCATCCTGCTGCTGCTGCAACCTCCCCCATTTTCCTCTGCAGCACCCTACATGCAGGCCCTGCCAGCCACCACCTGCCTAAAGTTACATGTTGAAGATCCCCGATGCTCCAGAAGTCCCCTTGCTGCCACTCTTGCCAACACAAACTGATTCTAGTGTTACCAGCTATTGGCCCAATGCCCTTCCTGCCTATGGCTCTCACTGCCCTGCAGATGCTGCTGCTGCTCTTCTCTTCATCTTCCTGGCTCAGCTGCTCTACAAGTGATGAGACTCAGAAGTGTAGACAAGGCGGGCCACTCAAGAGAAGGCTACTGGATCTGCTGCAGCAACACCAGGGGCCAGTTACCAGAGGGTGTCTTTTAGATGTTCACAACCAGCATATAAGGCCAGAAGGGATGTCTGCACCAAGCATGGCAGTCCCTTCATGCAAATGTCCGTATCATTCTTAGATCTTCTTTTGGGCCACCAGGAAGTTAATCCCTCTGGTTTGGGTAGGAATAGCTCTGAAGATTGTGGTGGCAGAAAGTCCAGTTCAAGGTACTTGCTGGGCAGTGTGGTTTGGGTGCTAGCATGATGACAGTCCAGCTGCCTGGCTGGCTCAGGGTAGCCAGGGACTTGGGGAAAGGGTCTAATGGTTGTTAGTGAGATAGTTAAATCTCCCCATCTCCTAACATTCAACATTTAGCACATTTAAATGAAAAATAAACTTTCAAGAGGGTGTTTACATAAACCATTAACAGTATTATAATAGTATTTAGCTGTACTCTAGCAATGTGTAACTCCTGCCTGTTCTCCAAGAGACAAGTGGGTTCCTTCTATCTGTTAAATTCATGTATAATCTAAATTCACTGGTTAAAAGGGACATTGATAGGATAGATTTTATTATTATTTATTTATTTTCCCAGTCCTGGGGCTTGAGCTCAGGGACTGGACACTGTCCCTGAGCTTCTTTTTCTCAAGGTTAGCACTCTACCACTGAGCCACAGCACCACTTCTGGCTTTTTCTGTTATATGCTACTGAGGAATCGAACTCAGGGCTTCATGCATGCTAGGCAAGCACTCTACCACTAAGCCACATTCCCAGCCCCAGATAGATTTTAAAATATAATCAACTGTAAGAAACTCAGGAAGTTTTCTTCAACTATGATATAGGCAGACTTAAAAAAGATAGAAAGATATACATATATATACATATATAAACATTAATCAAAAGAAAGTACAAGAGACCAGTAAGTAGATAACTTCAAAGCAAACACAATTATCAAACACCATGAGGTATATTAAGTAATATTAAAAAGGTCAACAGACTAAGAGCAGTGTTCTAGTGCTATAACATATGAGAAGCAAAGACTGACAGAATGAAAGAAAAGATGAACAAGCTACAATGACAGCTGGAAACTTCAAAATACAGCTCTTATAGTGAGGACTAGACAGGAAATAAGCAAGAATATAGAACCCAATATTCTATAACACAACAGCTCGAAGCAACATCGAAGAGAACAGACCAACACAAAGCATTGGTGGCTTATGCCTGTAATCCTAGCTACTCAAGAGGCTAAGATCTGAGGATCATGTCTGAAGTCAGTTGAGGCAGGATATTCTTAATTCCAATTAACCATCAAAATAGCTGGAAGTGGAGCTGTGGTTAAAGTGGTAGAGTGCTAGCTTTGAGCAAAAAAGCTCAGGGACAGTGCCCAGGATCTGACTTCAAGTCTCAGGACCTGGACAACCACAGCCACAACAACAAACCAGACCACCCTACAATAGCAGTACCTCAAAACACATACCAACACAGACTATATTCTGAACCATAAAATAACCCTGAACAAATCTGTAAGACAGTTACTAGTCAAAATTTATTCTGGATGTATTCTAGATAAGATTAACATCAGAATCAGCAGAATGCATAAAGCAGATTATACTCCCTAAAGTAGATGGTTCTACTTAATCTACTGACTACATAAAACAGAGGGTAAGTAAAGAACAATTCAGCTGGGTGCCAGTGGCTCATACCTGTGATCCTAGCTACTCAGGAGGCTGAGATCTGAGGATTGCGGCTCAAAGACAGCCCGAGCAGGAAACTCCATGAGACTCTATTTTTCTTTTTTTTGGGGGGGGGAGGGTCTGGTCATGGGGCCTAAACTCTGGGTCTGGGCGCTGTCCCTCAGCTCTTCAGCTCAAGGCTAGCACTCTACCACTTGAGCCACAGCGCCACTTCCGGCTTTTTTTTTTTCCTTCTGCTTATGTGGTGCTGAGGAATCGAACCCAGGGCGGTAAGCATGCAAGGCAAGCACTCTACCACTGAGCCAACTTCCCAGCCCTCCATGAGACTCTTATCTCCAATTAACCACCAGAAGACCAAAAGTGGTGCTGTGGCTCAAGTGGTAGAATGCTCACCTTGAGCTGAAGAGCTCAGGGACAGTGCCCAGGCTCAGAGTTCAAGCCCCATGACCAACAGCAACAACAAAAAGAACAATTAATATTCAATGCCTGACTGGCCTAGAGTTGAAACACTGGTCTTCTCCTGCTTTTGGACTTAGACACAGACTTGGACTGGAACTAACACCATCTGATCTTGATCCTTAGCTTGCTGACTCAAGACAATGGGCCTCATCAGCCTCCACCAAGAGAGTCAACTCCTTATACTCATCTTTCCCTCTCCTTTCTCTATGCACTGTGCACATGCATGCACACATACATCCGTATTGGCTCTGTTTCTCTAGAAAACCCTAATAAACTCTTTTTTAAAAACTAGTATACGGTAATCAGTCAGGAGCAGATATCATTGTGACATTTCCATGCATGTTTACACTGTATTTCAATCAACTTTCTCCTATCTTATCACTCTTCCTTATCCCCTCCTTTCTAAAACAATTGCAATAGGTTTTATTTTTCTATTTTCAGACAGGCAACCAATCTACTTGGACTACTGCCCCACCTTTAGTATACTCTTTAACTACACATTCAGAAGTACTATTAAAATGCAAGATGACTTCTTTGGAGAGATTAGCAAACTGATTTGAAAATCTGTGTGGAAATGTTAAGATAAAGTCTAGCTCAAACAATCTTGAGAAAAAAGAAAAAATTGTAAGTAAGTTCTTGATGTCACCATTTCTATAAAGATACAATGACAAAAAGTACAAAGATAATCAGACCAATGGAGTAGAAAACCTGGAAACAAGCCCTTATAGGTTGGGTTTCAGTAAGGAGCTCAGGACCATTCAGCAGAAAATAGTCTATTCAACAAACAAAGTGAGGTAAACTGGGTTTCTACATGCAAGAGAATGAAGCTGTATGCTTATCTAATATGCACATAAATAAAATAATTCAAAATGTAATAAAGACAAGCCTAAGAGCTAACACTAAAAAGCTCATAGAATAAATCATAGGGCGAGAGTTTTATAACATTTGATTTGGCCGTTTTCTTGGATATCACACCAAAGGCAAAGAAAACAGATGATAAAAACAAACTGGACTTCAGGAAACTTAAAAATGTTTGTCAGGCAAAGGACATGATAATAGAATATAAAGGAAACCCAAAGAATGTGAGGAATTATTTCCAAATCACTTATCTGATAAGGGACTAATATTAAAGATAAAGCAATCTTAAAACTCAACACTGAAAAACAACTCAATTAGAAACTAAGAGAGGACTCATTACCAAAAGCGTGAAAAAGACAACCTATGCAAAGAGAAAATATTTGCCAATAATAAATCTGATAGGGGTTAATATCCAGAATATATAGAAAGTGCCTACAGTTCTACAACAAAAAGAGAAAAACCAATTAAAAGATTGGCAGACACCGGGCGCCGGTGGCTCATGCCTGTAATCCTAGCTACTCAGGAGGCTGAGATCTGAGGATCGAGGTTCAAAGCCAGTCCAGGCAGGGAAATCCGTGAAACTCTTATTTCCAATAAACTACCAGAAAACCGGAAGTGGCACTGTAGCTCAAGTGGTAGAGCGCTCGCCTTGAGCTGAAGAGCTGAGGGATAGCGCTCAGGCCCAGAGTTCAAGCCCCACAACCAAAAAAAAAAAAAAAAAAAAGATTGGCAGAGGACTTGGATGGGTATTTCTCTAAAGAAGAAGAAACTGATCCATAAATACATGAAAAGATGTATCACTAATCATTGAGAAATCCAAACCAAAACTGCAATGACAACACTTCACGCTCATTAATATCAAATTAATATGAAATTAATATAAAAAATAAAGCAAGTGTTGGTGAGGATGTACAGAAACTGGAGGATTGTATATGGCTTGTAGAAATGCTAAATGATGCAGCACGGGAGTATAATGGTTCCTTAAAACAGCAATACGGGGCTTCCCACATAGGCCCAGCAGTTACAATTCCATCCCAAAGCATAGAATAATGAGAACAGAAAACGCATCCTTATAAAAATCTAAATGCAAATGTTCCTAATAGTATTCTTTATAGCTCTAAATGTCATCAATTTATGATGAATATATGATGGGTATTATTTGAAAAGCAACAAAGTACTGATACACTCACAGTACTAATGAACCTTGAAAATGTCACATTAAAGAATCCAATCACACAGGACACATGTTGCATGATTTCACATATATTTAAGGTTTAGGAATGGGAAAATCCACAGAGACAGAAAACAGGTTGGTTTTCAGGGTCTGGGAGGAAAGGGGAATGGAGCAGTGGGCTTTTGTGGGGAGTGATGAAAATGTCGTAGAATTAGGTAGTGGACATGACTTAATGAATATAATAACGGCCACTGAGCTTACTCACTAGAAAGATGAACTACATGAAGTGTGTATTCTCTCAATTAAAAAAAGTTAAATAAAGCACTGAACATGAAAGAACCATCTGGTTTCTAGCTGAGGGGATAGCAGTACCCTCACCTGCTCGTAGATTTCAATGGCTTTCTGGTACTGCTCCAGTTGTGCGGCGTAGGCTGCCACCTTCAGCAGACACTTGTTAGCTGAGCTAAAATTAAGGACCAGAGCAGAGTAAGCAACAACCCACATGAAAAATAAGAGACGACTGTTCATGGATCCCAGGTACATGAGGATATTTGCATTTGGTACAAAAACAGATGACTTGTCTTTTATCACCATACTAAAACTCATTTATTAATATTAAAAACATGAATACTTGCCTGTTAGACTCTTCTCCTTTGTAATAATCAGCAGATTGTTCATAATGTGCAATAGCCTGAAAATAAATACACTTCATTCACAAACAGTTCATTTGAAGAGCTGCATTTAAAACTATGTTTATAGCCCAGTGTGGTTGTTCAAGCCTATAATTCTAACTATTTGGGAGATGGAGGAAGGAGGTTTTCCTTTAAGGCTGCCCTCAAAGACCAAGACCCTATCTGAAAAACAAACTAAACAAAAGCAAAAGGATGAGACATGGATCAAACAGTAAAGCTCTTGCCTAGTGAGTATGAGGCTTGGAGTTCAATCCTCAGTCAGTACTGTCAAAATAAGCCATTACATTTGTGCAGCTATTTCTTTATTTCTTTTTCTTTTTTTTTTTTTTCGGTTGGTTGTGGGGCTTGAACTCAGGGCCTGGGTGCTTTCCCTGTGCTCTTCAGCTCAAGGCAAGCACTCTACTGCTTGAGCCACAGCGCCACTTCTGGTTTTCTAGAGGTTTATTGGAGGTAAAATTCTCATGGAGTTTCCTATCCGGGCTGGCTTTGAACTGTGATCCTAAGATCTCAGCCTCCTGAGTAGCTAGGATTACAGTGTGAGTCACTGGTGCCCAGCTCTTTATTTTTTTGTCGGTCATAGGGCCTGAACTTTGGGCCTGGATACTGTCCCTCAGCTCTTCAGCTCAAGGCCACCGCTCTACCACTTGAGCCACTTCTGGCTTTTTCTGTTTATGTGTTGCTGAGGAATCGAACCCAGGGCCTCATGCATGCAAGGCAAGCACTCTACCACTGAGCCACCTTCCCAGTCCATGTGTATATATTTCTTCTAGAACTCAACCCTATTCTAGCAGTCATCTTCCACAACTTGGCCTACTTTATTTAGTAAATACAGGGAAAGCATATACCTCTGTAAACCTATAGTGCTAGAATGCTCCCTATTAATCAAATTTTTTTTTTCTTCCCCACAGCAAACACCCAGTTATACCATCTTCCTAGCCTCCACTGTGGTAAAGGTGGTCAGGTGGCTAGTTCTTTTTCATGGAATATAAACAGCCATTTTCAGGCTGGGGATACACACACATCTTACTCTACACTATTCTTCAGATTTCTGACGATTCCCATAAGCTAGAATGGCAATAACCAACTCTAGTGTAATATTGGAAGTCACAGATTTCTAAATAATCTCAGCCTGCCTTCTAAATAACCTCAAAGGTCAGAATGTAACCTAATCCTAGTGTACCTACCACTATAAATGCACAACAGCTACACCAGATGGTATTTCAGAAAGGAGTGAAGCACTGCTAGACCTGCAGCACTGACTGCTCTCAAAACCACAGAGGTTCAGGGAAACCAAGCAATAGGACAAGGTAGAACACATAGCTGCTGGAGCTGGAACTGTGCAAAGCAGCTGAGAAGAGCTGCATGAGTATATTTCTGTTTCCAGCTACATTTTATGGGGAATGAATGCTGGAAGGGATTAGCTGGTTTGCAAGCAGGTATGAAAGGCAATAGGCCACATCTAGAGATAAGGGTCTCATAAAATTGGAAAAAAACAGTGACTGCTATATCCCACATGGGAAGAGGTAAGTAAGTCTGCAAATGCTTTACGCCAGAAATCTGGAAAACTTCTGCAACAGGTCAGATAATAAGTATCTTGGATCTTGTGAGTCAAATCATCTCTGTGGCAGTGCAGTCCCCGATAGTATGGCCATGAACACAAAAATGATTATGGCTGCATATAAGGATACTTTATTCTTGAACAATGACATTTCAATTTCACATTATTATTATTATTATTATTGCTTATGTGGTGCTGAGGAATCGAACCCAGGGCCTCATGCATGCAAGGCAAGCGCTCTACCACTGAGCCACCTTCCCAGCCTTCACATTATTTTTATGTGTCACAAAATGCTTTTTCTCTAAGTGAAAAAAAACAATGCAAAAACTATTCTTAGCTTGCAGGCACAAAGATACAAGGTTGGTAGGCCCTTGCTTTAAATTACAGAAGTTTCTCAATAAGCCCCAGAGAGAGCTAGCAGCATACAAAGATCAGATTAAAGGTACTAGGCACAGGCTCAAGAAAACAGTAAATAAAAGGCTTGGAAACTATGTCAGAATACCATTTAGGGCTTTGTTTCCTGCCACAAGGAATGGACTAGAAGCAAATAAGGGTTGGCCTGTAGACAGTACATAGACAGTAGCAATAGCCACCAGAGCAGCACCATCTCTGACGTCACAGGAAGAAGGCAGAAGAGCCTTCTGTAGTGCGGAGTACCTACACCATTCAACTTTGCACACTTTTATAAAAAAAATAAAAAACAACGGACATGTTTACTGTTTTGGAAAGATCGGGTTCACTTAAGTCTATCCTAATTAATATGCAAATTATTTTTACCTGACAATGTGCATCTTCTCCTACTGAAACGCAGGCTCTATAAGGGCAGATTCCAGAACTGCTGCTCACCACTACAGCCCTGAGCCTAGTTTATAATGCCTAGCATAGGGTAGGTGCTGAGTGAATAAACATAAACAACACCACAAATGAAAAGCCCCCTACTGAACTACTGCCAATATTTTGATTAATTTGGAATGTTAGGAAAAAATGCTTTTCAATGTATTGATGGTTACTTAAGAAACAACAACAAAAAACCCTTCTTGGGGCTAAAGATGTACCTCAGTGGTAGAGTATACTTATTAACATACACAAGTCCCTGCTCTCCCCACCACAAAACAACCCCTTCTTTGAACTGTTCTCCTGCTCTGAAGTATGTAGTATAGTTTCCCATTGTAATCAAACACAGTAAAATTTTTGAAAAGCAAAACATAACAAAAAATCATTCTGTAGAGTAAATGATTATAAAACCTCTTCTGGAAGAGGTTAAATGTCCAATGGACTCTTAACAGGAGGTGAAATCTTCCAGGCACAAGCAGGCGAATGCTCTGCTCTACCTGCTGTCTCTGCTTCTGATGCTTTCATGCTTAAGAGTCCGCTATGTAGGTGAAATAGCCTCAAAGACCCCTTCCATGGGAACAGTGCTTTTAGAACAAATGCTCTGAGACAGGATCTAATGGTCAGCCTGTCATATATGTCTAACCTAGCTTTAGTAGACAGTTTTAAATTATGCTCTTCAACAGCTGAAAAGAAAATTGAGTCAGAGCTCCCCTGGATCATTTAAAAACACCATCTAAAGAGGATTCATATGGCTGGGTTTACCATTTTACCTCATGAAATTAAAAGTAGAAACTGAGTTCATGAAATGTCACACTTTACTGACCAATAGCTTAACTCTGAATCAGGGAATAAGCTCTGGGTAGTATTAATAGAGAGTCAATCTATTTGTAATAAATCAGATACAAGGTAACTTGGTGAAAGTGATTTTTCAAACATAAGCTTCATATACCATTGATCGCATTTTTTTTGGAAGAAGGAAAGAGATGGCAATGATGTTTGTAAATAATGCAGGAGCCCAAAATAAGGAAACATAATGAGCTAACCCAAGTGTATATGTATAGTAATATGCTTGAAAAAAATTTTTGAGGCTGGTTTTACTGTATAGTCAGGCTGACCTCGAACTCCAAATCTTCCTTCCTCTACTTTTTGAGTGCTAATATTACAGGCATGTACTGCCACTTCAGGTCCATGCTTTCTAAAACTTTAACAGAACAGACCACAGGAGTGAAAATAGTGCCACCTACTGGCAAAGCATAGAATGGCAGAAACATGAGGGGTATTTTATTTTATTTTATTTTATTTTTTGGGTCTGGTGGTGGGGCCTGAACTCTGGGCCTGGGAGCTGTCCCTCAGCTCTTAAGCTCAAGGCTAGCGCTCTACCACTTGAGCCACAGTGCCACTTCCGGCTTTTTTTTTTTTTTTTGCTTATGTGGTGCTGAGGAATCGAACCCAAGGCCTCAGGCATGCAAGGCAAGCGCTCTACCACTGAGCCACCTTCCCAGCCCACATGAGGGGTATTTTATTTTATTTTATTTATTTATTTTTTGTGTGAGGGGTATTTTAGAAGCTGCTTTGACAAATCAAAGGGAAAAAACATTGTGTTACAGATAATTATACTCTGGTGGCAGAAATGACATGACACTGAGGGGTCTGGACCCAAGTGCTCTTCTGATTGTCATGAACTAGAAAACTAATCCAGGAAGACATTGGTGCAGTGTTTGTCTCTGAAAGACTCACTCAACCTCAATAAAGGTACATGCCCATCACAGGCACTCTGACCAAGCAAAGACCCCAGACACACCAACTCGGTATCCTTGTGTTCCATCACTAGGCCCACACCAGAGAACAACTGAGGGTTCTGCTCCAGGCTCCTTTACCTTTACTCGGGATCCACAGATAACCCCAGAGGTTATCTCAGGTTATCTCAGAGGCACATGCCAGGGCACGGGTCACGGTCTCCTCAGCAAGACATGACATGGCAATGGGACAGGGACAAACATTGAGTAGGGTGTGATGAGTAGGAGCACGTTTTGTGCTGAATAACAAAAGGTGGTGGTCAGCATGTCAAAAGGGCCTCCATGTTAACCATGGGGCTCCAGACTTAGTGCTGCCTCAAATATGAAATGGGGATGTGGTCTGCTTATTCAGTTGCAATTTATTTAGGGCCCCCTATCTTCTGGGACCTTAGTACCTATCAGAGAAATGGGGGCAAATCTCTCTACTGACACAGGCACCACATCCAGCAGAGGGCAAGGGACACAAATACTAGGAACAATGAGCAAGTATATACTAACATATGATAAAAGGTGACACATGTTGCATGATTAGAGAAAAAATGAGTGAGGTATTCATGTGTGGTGGAGAAATAATCCTGTGGGTTATGAATTTAACTGTACAGCCCTTATAGGCCTCAGGGAAAAGGTGATACAATGAAGAGAAACATGGAAAAGTCAGCCACTGGGACTTGGAGGTTGTGAAGTTAGCCATACGGACATGTAAGGTGGCTGAGTGGGCAGAGAGACAGATGGATGTGTGGTGCACACCTGTAACCCCAGCACTTGGGAGGCAGAGGCAGAAGGATTTCAAATTCTAGGGCAGCCTTGATCACATAGTGAGAGTCTATCTCAAAAACAAACAAACAAAGGTCCTGGGGGGTGGATGTTGGGGATTTAAGCTCAGTGGAAGAGCACTTGCCTGGCAAGGCCCAAGTTTGATCCTCAGCTCTAGTGGAGGGGCAGGAGCCCATCTCGCATGTGTACAAAGCAGCAAAGAAGCCATGGTGGCAGGAACAAGGGACAGCAAGGAAAACTGATATACAGAGATGCATGAGGAGCATAGACAGGGCGGGAGGAGCAATCCAGTGGGGTGACAAAGGCTGATTACATGGCTCCTTCTGCTCCTGTGAGCAAAGGTGGTGCTAATAAGAGCTGGAAGCAATGCAGAAACTGCATCTTCACAGGATTCACAAAGTTCATGCTGGTTTCTCAGTTACAGAAGGGCTTGGCATGGGCAGGGGGAACGGAAGTGAGGAGACCAGGTAGGAGGCTCCTATGGTGATGTAGTGAAGCTGGAACTGAGAAGTGCTGAGACTGAAGAGCAGGAGGACAGCCCACAGAAACTGCTCACCTGTTGGATGAAGAGTGGGGAAAAGACATGGTAGCCTGGCATTTGAGGGGGAAGATTGAGGTGGGTATGGCACTTGAGCTCTTACCCCAAGGCCTTGAGATGACAGTTGGACCTAAGTGGAAAGGTGAGCAGGTGGGTGGGTTTCACCGGGAGTTTGGAGCAAATCTGGGCTGCAGACAGACTTGCATTTCGCTGGCACACAGACAGAAAAGCAGCACCGCCAGAGGTGCTTCACCGTCTTCCCAGAGCCTCAAGAGACCTTCACTACATGACTGAAAATTACTTTGGTCATACTAATGTTCTGATATGAATTAGTGTACAAACAGTGGCTGAATTTGGTTAAGTCTCAACAGCTATCTTGTCTTAAACACTCATTCCAGCAAAGCACCCCTACTACCCAGCCAGCCACTCCCAGAAGTCTCAGGAGACCCCCATGATACTGCAAGCATTCAATCACTGAAGACAGGGAAGGCCCCTGGAGTCTTCCTTCCACTTTCTTTGCCACTTGCAGAGCTGTGTCCCACACTTACCTTCTCGATGTCCACGAGCTCAGTCTCATAGATCTCAGCAATAGTGATGTGGTGCTTCGCTGCAATTGTAAACCTTCCCTAGGAGGAAAAATCCAGAGTCAGACATATGTTTTACCTATGTGAATGCCAAGCAGAGTTTTGAAACAGAAAAACAATCAAACATAATGACTCTAAGCCATGTTAGGGATTCCACCCCATAGCCACTCAAGCAAAGCAACATCTTACCATGTCTGTGTAAATGTCGATGGCTGCATTTAAGCAGTTGATAGCCTCTGAAGCGTAGGCATTTAAGAAAAACAATGAAAAATCCATTCAGTCAAAGAGGGTTCAGGTGAGCCTGTCTTCTTGGCTGTTATTAGAGGGTAATGAGGTACAATTTGGGTAGGAGGATGGGCAGGTCAGTTAATAAAGCAAACACAAATCATGCACAAGTCCAAGTTCATGAGCATGGCTTTGTTCCTAGCAGCTAAAGGCTGATTTAAGGAAATGTGGCTGGAGTATTAATTGGCTCAGTGCTCTTAACCTTAAAGTGAAAACTGCATCCAAGGAGGCAGACTGTGTTACAAAGACAACAAGACTATGGGGATTGTCACCAACACTGATACACCATGTCTGCTAATACATGAAGTAAATGTATTGTTCATTAATGTCATGTGAATATATATTAATTTTAGAAGATGGTGTTGCTTAATAAGAAAGGCCAGTTCAATCGATTCTACCATTTACGTGGCTGCAATCAATAGAGATGCTTGTTTAGACAGCTCAGACACGTTCAAAGGTGCTAACTTGTGGTATACTAATGTATCCAAAAAAAGGAAGAAAAAAAATCTAATAAATGATCATGTTAATTAATCACATTAATTTCCTGAAACAGTAAGCCAAGAAATTTCCTGTCACCAAGTAGGTATTTATACTGCTGGCCTATGACGGACAGCTCCAAGTTAATTGCTTTTGGTTTGAAAGAGGCACAATGAGGCAAAGCTTTACTTAAGAATTAGAAAGATATCTACAACAATAACAATTAAAAGCAATTTCCCTTTAAACTATATAAACTACATGAATTCACTGTTACACCTTTAAAAATACAGGGAAAAAAAACACCCCAGAGTAAACATGATTTGCCTCTAACTCTACAGACACACGGTTAAATGTAGGAATCGGTTTTTCTTTCTATGTTTTGGATGCATTTCTATGTGTACATACTTGTTTTCTGAAATTGTAATCATTCAGTCTTATGGGGTTCTTTAATAACCTTGGGAACATTTTATTAAGTCATGAAGGGCCTTTGAAACCAGGGATTTTTTTTAAAGACAAGGTCTTGCTGTAGAGTCCAAGCTGTCCACTGTCCTGCTTGTTTCCTGAATGTTGGGATAATAGGTGGCACCTCTACCTGAGGCTTGCAGGCAGGGATTTTACTGCCCGCGTCATGTTCTAAAATACTGATCCACTACAACCATACCATTCTACATCTCCTTCTCACACGGACTATATCATTTATCACTTTAGGAAAAAAAAACTGTGATTAATCTTTATATAAAAGCCCTCGAAATACCGTATTTCTGTATGACTTATTCATAAAAATTGGGACTTACGTGTTAAACAAAATGAGCTAGAAGCAAACAAAAATAGAAAGAAAAATAGGAGACTCAAACGTATTCATGTATAAATGCGAGAAAAAGATATGAATACTTTTAATTGCAAAGTAAAATTACCTAATGAAAACAATGATAGTTCTAAATTTTCACCACTTTACATATCTAATTTTATTTTTTTCTCCTTAAGATACTTTAGAAAAATACTTCTTAAAAGTGAGGACAGGCAGGATGACTTAAACCTGTAATCTCAGCTATATGAAAGTGGAAACCAGAAAGATCACCGGTTCAAGGCTAGCCTGGGCAAACATTTGTTGAGATCTTGTATCAATAAGCTGGGCGTGGTAACATATACCTGTGACCCCAACTATGCAGAGACTGTAGATGGGACTGTCTCAGTCTGGGTAAGGAGTTGGGGGAAGCAAGACTTTTCCTGAGAAATAAAGCAAAAAACACTGGGGACATAGATCAAGCGAGACAGCACCTGCCTAGCAAATGTGAGGCCATGAGTTCCAACCCTAATACCACCAAAATAAAACAAAGCAAGATCAAAATGAGTGCTAGGTGCCTAAGGCATGTTTTTAACAAGTAGATATTACCATTTCCCACTAAGTAGGTCTTAAAATTCAATGAGTATTTAGGAGGAAGGGAACACTAGAATTTTCTTGTTAGTACAGGAATATATTTCATAAAATTGAAATACAGGAGCCAGGTGTGGCTGTCATACCAACTTGGGAGGTAGAGGCAAGAAGACCACAACTCCCAAGATCAGCCTGGGCTACAAAGTAAGACTTTGTCTTAAAAAACAATAGATATAAGAAGTCTTAGATAAAATTAAAGGTAATTTACACAAAGTTCTCTATAATTCAACAGAAAATTGAACTTAAGAAAATGGTGTTGACAACTAAACAGCCAAGATCAAATAAAGCATTTTCCTAAAAGCCCCCAAAGTTCCTAAAGTTCTCTATTTTACCAAAATACAAAACTCTCATTTACTAGGACTCAAATGGACCACACGCATTGATCGACCTTAACTCTGAAGAGAACACTGGCTAGTCAATTACACAGAGAGGGAGGTGTTGCCCTACCTTGAGGGTCTGCTTTCTTGTAGGCATTTCCGGCATCCACAAAGCTGGTAGCAGAGTCATGTTTGCTCTGAAGCTGCATGTGGAGCTTGGCGGCTTGACAAAATGCATTTCCTGCAGCTGAAGAAGAGGCCACAGTTAAACCCAGAGGAGTAAGTCTCCTGAAGAACAGGCCTGGCTTGAAGACTGGCCCTGACTAAAAAGCTAACAGTTCCCTGAGATAGAGCAGTCTAGTAGGAGGTTTCTGCAAACATGGCCAAGTGCATATGCTTTTCCATCAGTCCCACAGGGCTTGTCAATGGCCCTAGACACCCTTTTCTGGTCCACCGTTCAATGTCAGTTCTATCCCATATTCATAAAACAAATATCCAAATTTGTTTCCAGCTATAAATAATTAAAGGAAGGCAAAACATTGAAGCCAAGGATACTTGTTTATACTTTCAAACCTGAGTATCCACAGGACCTATTTGTCATCATTGAAGAAGCTGATCTGTACTGGATAAAAGCATAATTAAGAATGTCACAGAACTGCCAAGCATGGTGAGATACACCTATAATTCCGATACTTGGTAGGCTGAGTCAGGAGAAAGGAAAGCAAATTAAGAGATCTTCCTCAGCTACATAGTGAGGCCCTGTCTTAAAAAAGAAAGAAAGAAAAAAAGGAAGTTCCTAAACCTTAAGGCTTATTTTTATTTTATTTGAGCTCAAGGTCTGGGAGCTGTCTCTGAGATTCTTTTTACTAAGGCTAGCACTCTTGCACTTGAGCCATACCTGTTTTTAGTGGCTAACTGGAGATGAGTCTCAACAGACTTTTCTTGCCCTGGCTGGCTTGGAACCATCATCCTCACAGCTTCAATCCACCATCCTCAGATCTCAATCTCCTGAGTAGGACTGCAGGATTGCAGGATTGAGACAACAGGGCCTGGCTTAGGTCTTTTGTTTTTGTTTAATTGTTGTTATGGTTTGGATATCTAGTAACACTCCCCCTTCAACCCTCACAAAAGACTCTTGTATTAAAGGGCTGGTTCACACCTTGTGATGCTATTTTGAAAGGTTATGGAAATTTCAAAAGTAAAACTTTTGACCAGAGGAAGCTGGTCCTAGGGGGCTCTATCAGGGAAACCTTCTCTCTCTCCCTTTCTCTGCTTCTTGACTGCTAGGTGGTAATGAACCTCCTCTTCCACATGTTCCTGCCACCATCATGTACAGGGTCAGGCAATCATGAAATCAATAATCTCTTCCCTTGTTAGGCTGTTCTCTCTGTATTTTGTTCACAGCCCTCACTAGCATGAACATGAAGTGGCACCCACTGCTATGCTAAACTTTTGCTTTAAATTTATTTGTAAAAAATATAACATCTGGGGCTGGGAAGGTGACTCAGTGGTAGAGCGCTTGCCTTGCATGCATGAGGCCCTGGGTTCGATTCCTCAGCACCACATAAGCAGAAAAAAAAAAAGCCAGAAGTGGCACTGTGGCTCAAGTGGTAGAGCGCTAGCCTTTAGCTTAAGAGCTGAGGGACAGCGCCCCAGGCCCAGAGTTCAGGCCCCATGACTAGAAACCCCCCCCCCCCCCAAATAACATCTAATTTAGTTTAAGCTTCAGCTGTGCTCTTTTTGTGGTTCCCATCTTCTTCCCCAGGGATGAGCACTAGCTCCTTTCCCTTAGGTTGAGTTTCTGAACTTTAACTGTTCCCACACTCTGCACAAAAAACTCTGGAGCCAGGCTATCAGGTTCCATTCTTGCTCTCTGCCTCAGGTTCTGTGAGAAGGAAGCAGAGAGCAAGCTAGCCCTGAATCTGCTGGCACCTTGACTATAGAGTTTTTAGCTTCCAGAATGGTGAGCAATGCGTTTCTGGTTCCCATCAACTACTAGGCTTTCATAGCAGTAGGATAGGACCAAGAGACACTCAAAACTGGAACTGGAGAACCCCTGCTGGCCACTGGAAAATCTGAGGGACAACTGGTCCTGAGGAGGGACCAAGACTACTGCCAGGATAGGGATGGGCAGGAACCTGGGTACTTAAGGCAACAGCTAACTACTAAGTGGTAGTTTGGCAGTATGCTAGCTGTAGAGTAGCTTTGAGGGACTCTACTTCAGAAGGATGTGGTACTGGCTTAGACTCCTAAGTGCTTAGAAGGGTCACAGATAGATAGATAGATAGATAGATAGATAGATAGATAGATAGATAGATAGATAAATATTTGTTATTGTAAAGGTGATGTACAGAGGGGTTACAGTTACATAAGTCAGGTAATGAGTACATTTCTTTTTGAATAGTGTCACCCTCCCTTATTTTCTCTGTTTTTCTCTCTCCCACAAGTTGCGTAGTTCATTTTCAACATAGTATCACTGCTGCATTTGTTCATCCTTTGTCCCACCATTTCTTTGCTCCCTTCCTAACCGTCCCCAAAACAGATAAATTTACATATAAGACAAAAGGTACAGAAATAAAAAACAGTGACAAAGGAGAAAAGAAAAAAACAACAAGAAGCAAAATAACATAAAACCTCTTCATTTCAAACATCATTTTATGTGATCATATGCCCATAGCTATTGAACCTTTGTGATTCTTTCCTAAGAAAATCCTCCTTTGGTCTCCTCGTGTGAAAGTCTAAAGTCCTGTATAATTTATCATGGCCCAGTATATTTTTCTGTCTTTTACTATCCAATGCATTTACTTGTAGATTTGGTAAGGAAATGGAAAGACTTGGAAAAAATTATATTAAGCAAAGTAAGCCAGACCCAAAGAAACATAGGATGCATGGTTTTCCTCACTTGTTTTAATGAGAAAGTGCTAAGAAGGGTCTTTCTCAGGAACTGGTTTTAGACATTGTTATTCATGCAGCTTTATCCTTGGTTCATTCCCACATCTTGTCATGTTTAAAACATCACCACTTCATTACAACTTGCCTACTTATTCTCCTGCCAGGATTTCATTTTTGGTGCTTTATGTTTATGATCCCAGAGCCCATCCTTTCCTTGCTAAATGCAATATTACCATAGGCCAGGGAGAGCACTTGAACTATACATTTTGTGCAACAGCTTTTTCAAACCAGTTGCTGGCTTACTTTTCACTCTAAGCACTCATTCCAGTCATTACCAACAAGTGCCATCTTAATATCCTCAGACCCGGAAATGTCTTTAAAGGAATACATTAAACTCAATGGCCCCTGGAAGTCACCCAACTTCTCAGGCTAAAGTTCCTTAATGTGAAAATTGATCGAATGCTGGTAAGAATTAAAACCATTAGCTCAATCACAAGGTAACTTCAAAACCATAAAGAGCTGTAATGGTGTTAGGATCATCACCACTGCACCATAGTATAGAGCGAGAAGGACCTTTCAAATTCATCCTGTTGAAAGCATTTTCTCCTTTGAAATAACTTTTAAAGTGTGTCTGTCTTAAAGGCAAATGAGGAAACAGTTTACAGAGAAGTCAGGGGAGACACCCCCATCACCTGGAAGCTGTGAGCAGAACTAGATTCACATCCCTAGTTCTGGTCTAATATTGTCTCCATTTTTACTTACTGGGTCATGAAGTCTCTTTTTTGGGTAAGAGGCATTTATTATTTTTTTGCAAATCAATGTCAAAAAGGCATTTTCTGAGAAAATAACTAATGAAGTCAGGCATGGTGATACACACTTGTAATCCTAGCACCTTGGGTGGCTGTGGCAGAAAAATGGTTGAGTTCCAGGCCGGTCTGAGCTGAATAGTGAGATTCTTTCTCAAAATTAATAAAATAATCAATAATAAAATAATCTGCAGGAGCTGATGTAACAATTCCCTCAGGGTGTCAGCTCTCATGATCTCTCAAGCTCTTATCTCAGAAGTAGGGAAGGGTTAGCAATTTTCAACTGATATTTAAAGAAAATCAGGCATTTCTATGTTTTCCTAGTAGTTTGAGTTTTAAGACTGTAAGGTTCGACAGAAAGGAAACCACCAAATGGCTCAGGCAGAAAAGAGTTTATTGGGGGTGGGGAGAGAGCAGACTTCGGGCCTGCACAAGATGGAGGCACATAGAGACAGAGGGAAAGGAAAAAGAAAAAGAGGGGACTCATGTTGAGCTGGATTATATAGGGAAAGGTGGGAGGTGGGGCCACAGCAGATGGGGAAGTGATCTCAGAGCCTGGGAAACCTCTCACTGCCCCAGGGTGGCGTGACCAGGGCAGTTCAGGAAATGACCTCAGCGGATGAGGAAGAGACCTCAGAGCCTGGGATCCTTCGCTGACACACAGTCAGGTGATAGACAGTCAGGTGATTACTGGCTTTAGGCAGGTGAAGAGGAAAGGGAAGGGGCTGTTCTCCAGGGCAAACCTAACAAAAACAACTTCCATTCCTTGTGGCACTGTATTTATCTGACAACGTCAGTAAGAAGCAAAGCTTATTCTCCCTAATTCCAAGTAATTTTAGCTTATTACTTGTGAGTCTAATGCCTTAGGGACTGCTCAATTCTTTTCTATCATCCTGCAATTGAAAGATACCTGTCACCAGGGCCACCACTCTCATTCTTAAGGGCAACACAAATGTTATTTCTTCCTACAAACTGACTTTAACATATCTGTCAGAAAAGCAAACAAGTAAAACCTTTGTACATACCACTCCAGTTCTTAGCCATCTTGAACATATTTGCAGCTCTGGTATACATTTCACAAGCCTCTTCTATTCGTGTGTTTCCTCTACAAAAAAATTAAAACATGAGGTTATATTTTATTACAACAACCACCCATATTCTCCATCTTCTGGGTGCTGGTGGCTCATGACTGTAATGAGATCTAAGGATCACAGTTTGAAGCTAGCCTAGGCAGGAAAGTCTTTGGGACTACTATCACTACTACACTACCAAGAAAGCCAGAAGTAGAGCTGTGGGCTCAAGTGGTAGAGCACTAGCCTTGAGCAAAATAATCTTAAGGACAGCACTCAGGCCTTGAGATCCAAGCCCCAGCACTGATACAAACAAAAACAAAACCAAAATAATAATAAATGGTTTTTGGTAGTACTGGGGTAGTACTGGGACTTGATTCAGGAAAATAATGAACATTTAGTGAATACTTACTTGCTATATGTCAGAAAAATGGGAAATACTATTACTGTCTCCATATTCCAGATGAGAAAACTGAAGTATATAAAACTGAAGTCACCAACTACAACCACATAGTATAGCTACCATAGAAATGGGACTATAATATTCATCTGGCTAAGTTGGGAGTTCTCTTCCTTATAAGTTATATATATATATAAACTAAGTTTTTGGTCCAGGTAATTAGAAGTTTATTTCTCAAAGGAGGTTGAATTTGAAGGACAAAGATGCCTTTACCTTGTTTTTCAAGAGTTTACCACTATCTCTGTTCAGACTTAAAAATAAAACCTGAAGGCTAGTCATGGTGATACATACCTGCAACCCCAAGCTTCTAGAGAAAGAGGCAGGAGGGTAAGGAATACAAGCTTAGTTTAGATTAATATTGAATTCAAAAGCCAGACACTGGTTGCTCATGCCTGTAATCCTAACTACTTGGGAAGCTGAGATCTGAGAACTGAGGTTCAAAGCCAGCCCAGGAAGGACCATGAGACTCATCTCCAGTTAACCACCAAAAAACAGGAAGTGGAGCTGTGGCTCAAAGTGGTAGAATGCTAACCTTGAGCAGAAAAACTCACGGACAGAGCCCAGGCCCTGAGTTCAAGCCCATAACGATAATAAATTCAAGGCCAGCCTAAGCTAAATAGTAAGACCCTGTCTCAAAACAATAAAATAAAAACAAAACAAAAATCAAAGCCTGAATCCAGAGCATCTGGTAGAGTGTCATACTATTCTACTTCGGTGTTATGTCAGCTCTGGCCAGGGCAAGCCTTTGCCTCAACATAGGTGGGTGTTTAGAGTGCAGCCCTTACTCAGTACAGAACAGGGCACCAATTGCTAAATGAATACAAGTAGTCCTGGAAAGGACAGTGAAATTCTACAGGGGGCAGCTGATTCCACTGAAGGACAGCTATAAATGCTCAGTTGTGAGAACCTGAAAATCCAAGCTGTGAGACCCCAAAAGGATTGGGAGTTTGGAATGCCTTCTCCCAATACACACTTGGAATGCTAAATTTTCTGGGAAAGGTCAATCAGTCCAGGCTTAACGGGAACTCAGATTCCACCCTAAACTGTGTGTGAGCCTAAGGGTAGACTTAGGTTTATGCAAATTGTCCCTTGTTTACTGTTTGGCTCCCCTTCCCAGAACATACCACTTGTATATAAACTACTGTCACAAGTTGAAGTTTGTACTTTACTTCCTTGCCTGAGACCAATAAAAACCTTGGTTAATGGAATTCTGGGATCTGTTATCATCAGAAGGCTACCTGTCCCCTGGTTCCCAAACCTCAATTCCTAGGTACAGTCTCCATTATTGTATTGGTTCCTGTTATGGTGGATTAAGGAGCAAATGTGGGTTGCAACACTCAAACACTCAATTCATACACAAAACCCTTGGGTTTTGAAGACTTTCCTGAAGACTTTCCTAAAGACTTCCCTAATGCAAGATTGCCTTTTCTAAGCCAAGGTCTGTCTACAAAAGGCATTTTATCTATGATGTCTATTAACACTATAAATATAGAATAAGAGGAAAATCGATGGGGCTGGGAAGGTGGCTCAGTGGTAGAGTGCTTGCCTTGCATGCACCAGGCCCTGGGTTTGATTCCTCAGCACCACATAAGCAAAAAGAAAAAAGCAAGAAGTGGCGCTGTGGCTCAAGTGGTAGAGCGCTAGCCTTGAGCTGAAGAGCTGAGGGACAGCACCCAGGCCCAGAGTTTAGGCCCCACAACCGGAACCCCTCCCCCGCCAAAAGAGGAAAATCAAGACCTGGGAGAGACTTCATTATGTGTAGTTCACATAATGAGGAATTCAGAATAGATCATGGACTCAAGGACTCAGAAACAGGGAGACTTCACACAATATGAATGTGAATGAGTGCAAATACCTGTTCCAGGAACTGGATAAAGCTGAGCTGCAGCAAGGGGTATACAGTTACTTCTATGTCAATGAAAGCTATGCACAGTTGAGGCTGGGCACAAAGTTAGGCCCAGGTGTGAGTGGGGCTCAAGGTTTGACCCTCAGAGAGCCCTTTAATTTCTCCTCTCAGATTTGTGTATGTAAATTATGGATATCATCTATACTTTGGGTTTTTATGAGGATCAAAAGAAATCACCCATCGATAACTGCTGTGTTAATTGATGCAGAGTAGGTCCTCATTCAGGACAATTACTATAATTAGATTCACGCACAGAAAGCATAAAACTCATGTTGAAACTTAATTATAATGCAACAAAGTTGGAAGGTGGGGCCTAATGAAAGGGATTTGGACTTGTGGGAGTAGATTTTCTCTCTCTTTCCTCTGCCACTGGACAATACACATTCTCCCTTCAGACTTGTCATGTGAAGACTCAGCAGCAAGACTCAGATACCAGGTGCCAGTGCTTTGATCTTGCACTTTTCAGCCTCCATAATTCTAAGAAACTTGTTCTTTGTAAATTCGGGTCTCAGGTATTCTCTCACAGTAGCAAGAAGGAGAATAATATATCCAGACCTGAAAGAGTATTGAGGGAGCATGGAGGGGTAATAATAGCTAAAAGGACATTGTTTCTGTCTGGGGTGAAGATGTTGTAAAATTGTTGTGATAGTTGCGCAGCTCTAAATATACAAAAAAAAAAATCACTGAATTATAATTTGGTGATTTATATGGAATATATATATATATATATATTTATATAATGAATTATCTGTCTGTCTGTCCCTAAAGAGCTGTTGCCTCCACCCATTAAAAAAACAAAACAGCGGGGTGCTAGTGGCTCACGCCTGTAATCCTAGCTACTCAGGAGGCTGAGATCTGAGGATCCCGGTTCAAAGCCAGGGCAGGAAAGTCCATGAAACGCTTATCTCCAATAAACCACTAGAAAACCAGAAGTGATGCTGGCTCAAGCAGTAGAGCACTTGCCTTTAGCTGAAGAGCACAGGGACAGCACCCAAGCCCAGAATTCAAGCCCCACGACCAACCAAAAAACAAAATAAAACAAAACAAGCAAAAACAAAAATAACAAACCTTTGGGGGTTTTGTTACAGTGAATGACAGAATGGCAAGAAGTCATACCAAAAAAGGAAGCTGAAGAAAGTAGAGCCTTAATCTTATACACCTTTTCTCTTCTTTAAATTTACATTTTTACCACACAATTTGCAAATAGGCTTCCCCAGTGGAAAATTCTTAGCATGTGAAGCTTCTTGATTATAGACACATATCCCTGGATCTAACAAGGGTTGTCTACTTTCATGGGTCTTGTTTTTCTAAAATGTACCAAGAATTTTAAACTGTAATTACAATGCAATTATTCTTATTAAAGGTTGCTAAATAAAGCTAGTTTAATTAAAATGTACTTCATCCTATTATTTTCAGAGATATAGACATAGCTAAGAATAAGAAAACTCCTATATTTCCATATGTCATACCATTTTCAGTATAACAATCATAAAAGGCACTATCTCTATTTAACAGAAAAGAAAATGGGATCTGGAGGTCAATGGCTTATTCTTGTCACCCAGCCTAGGAGAGTGGTACAGCTGACTCCTGACTTCTTTAGTGATCTTTATAAACACTGAAAAAACCCCAGCTAGACCAAGAGACTGCACCTCCTTGAAACAACACCACAAATACTCTCATTTATAAAATTCTAAAAACTCCTTTGCTATAAAGAGAACACAACTGTAAAACTTCATGAAAAATTACATTTCAGAAATCATACCAAATGCTTACCTGTATATAAAAGTTAATCGTCACGTTTTAAGGATATTCAGAATTCACATTTAAATTATTCAAATGATTGCTAACCAGAGTTTTCAATAGAGACAGAAGTTTCTTGAACACAGAAATCAGATTCTGTGATATTATGTAATAAAGTAATACAATAAAGTACATGTCACTAAGCTGATAGAGCTAAATTCCTATTTTTTGGTTATTATGGAATTCAGGACCTTGAACAGCCAAATGCTTTCTCTACTATAAAATAAAATACTGGCCAGCTGGTAAAAGAACTGCTACCACTCTTTGGCCCAAGCTGGACAAACTGTCTCACTGCTAGCAGCAAGGTGAAATCCCTCTTCCTGACCAAGAAAAAATTTGTTGATGTCAATATGTGCCAGAAAACACTAGGAAGAGATTATATTGCCCACAGGAAGGTTAGAATGCTGCAGCAAGAATATCAAACCTCAGGGATGGAAGAAGTCCAAGACAGCACACCCAACGCTACCATATCCACTGAGGTCAAAATGCAACACATCCAAACATCAGAAACCAACGAATCCTCACACAATCTGAATCTTGATTTGCTCAATCCTGAATAATCACTGCTTTGGAGCATTGCACCACACTAGCAATGATAATACAGACTATTTTAAACTGTAGGTGGGAGGAGGGAGGTATCAAAGTAGACATGTGGGAATTAATGGCACACACATCCTGAGATACAGCTGAAAGAGGTGACAAATACTAGGGCAGAAATAAAGTGCCTTAAAATTACAAGATATTATAGTAGCATTATCTCCAAAAGTTACAGTGACAGTGACAGTGTTGTAAAGATGTACATGCAGAACTGGGGGTGGGGTGGGAGAGGAGGAATCCAATTCTATCATCAGAATATTCTTATGAAGTTT